CAATATGCTCAATTAATATTTGACAAAGGTGGCAAGAGCATACAGTGGAGTAAAGACAACCTCTTTAATAAATGGTGTTGGGAAAATTGGAGAGCTACATACAAAAAAATGAAACTAGACCACCAACTTACATCATACATAAAAATAAACTCAAAATGGATAAAAGACTTAAATGTGACCCATAAATCCATAGAAATTCTAAAAGAAAATGTGGGCAACAAAATTTCGGACATCGTACGCAGCAGAATTTTCACTGATCCATCACCTAAGGCAACAGAAACAAAGGAAAAAATGAACACATGGGACTACATCAAACTAAAAATCTTTTGCTCAGCAAAAGAAACAAACATCAAAATGGAAAGGCAACCCACTGTATGGGAGAACATCATTGCCAATGATACATCAGATAAGGGGTTAATTTCCAAAATATAGAGAGTGCTCATACAACTCAACAAAAGGAAGACAAGGAACCCAATAAAAAAATGGGCAGAGGAGCTGAATAGACACCTCTCCAAACAGGACATACAAATGGCCAAGAGACATATGAAGAAATGCTCCACATCACTAATCATCACAGAGATGCAAATTAAAACAACAATGAGGTATCACCTCACACCTGTCAGAATGGCCACCATTAACAAATCATCAAACAACAAGGGTTGGCGAGGGTGTGGAGAAAAGGGGACACTAGTACACTGCTGGTGGGAATGCAGACTGGTGCAGCCACTATGGAAAACAATATGGTGTTACCTCAAAAAATTAAGAATTGAACTTCCATTTGTCCCAGTGACCCACTGAGGAATATACCCTAAGAAGCCTGAAACATCAATCAGAAAGAATATATGTACCCCCTTCATAGCAGCACTATTTACAATAGCTAAGATCTGGAAACAACCCAAGTGTCCATCAGTAGACGAATGGATAAAAAAGCGGTGGTACATATACACAATGGAGTACTATGCAGCTGTAAGAAAGAAAGATATCTTATCCTTTGAAACATCATGGAGGGACCTGGAAAGTATTATCCTAAGTGAAAGAAGCCAAGCAGAAAAAGACAAATACCACATGATCTCACTTGTATATGGAATATAATGAATATAACAGGCTGAGGAATAGGGTAGACCCAGAAACACGAAAGTAGGGTACAGACTGACAACCCTCAGAAGTGGGAAGAGATAAACCACAGAACTTATATGCATACATGCATAACCAATGGACACGGACAACAAAGCCGGGGATGGGCCGGGGGGGGGGGGGGGAGATGGTATCAATGGAGTAAAAATGGAGAAACATCTGTAACAAAAATAAAATAAAATAAAAAAGTAAAATGAAAGCACATAGAAGAGTAGATGTAAATATGAAGACAAATATCACTTGTTTACTTTCTTCCCTACTCTTATTCTGATACCTGTGAAATAGTGAAGTGGGTACCAATGTGGTTGGTTGGGAGGCCTGCTCTGTGAATTGCTGCCATTCTCTGGTAGAAAGGAAGCAAAACCAGAGCCCAGTACTGGACAATAGTCTTTCAATACATTTTTTACACCAGCAGAGTGAATTCAAACATAAAAACCTACGTCTCTCTCAGACAGCTCTCAGCTATGGCAACATTATCATGTCATTAGAGAGTAATGGGGGTTGGGGTTGAGAAGAAGCAACCATATTGCCTACTTCGCTTACTGCATTTGCGATTTACACTCTAAATCTTGGGATCTGATTCCAGTGAAAAATGCACAGAGGGGCTCTTCTTCAGAGTATATATAGGTATCCATGCAATTTAATATCATCAATCTCAATCTACCAATTTACAGTGAGAAATGCTAGTTATGGTAAGTCATGGAAATAAAAGTCCCTCTGTTATACAGGGCCCCGCAAACTACCTCATTATGTCTCCACACTGTCCAGCTGAGTGTGAGCTCTGGGGAGCTGTAGAGTGGTGTGAGACAGTCATATTTCAGTCCATGTTTGATGCGGAAGGCAAGATTTCTGTGATTAAACCAAAGAATTGCTACCCTGGAGCAGTATTAGAAACACTAGAAAGGAATATTTTCACCACAAGCTCACGCCAGTTCCCTTTTGAGCATGCCTATGAATCAGCTACCCAACACCTTTTAAACCTTCCACTTCAGCTTCAAAAGATAAAGCCTTCCCTGATGAAGCACTGTTGTCCAGTACCTGAGCATGTTCTAGCTATGCTATTGAAATGGGTTTCTGAAAGGAAGATGAGGAAAAGAATCTGTATTTTTCTTGATTTCTGCCCAAGCATGTCTGTTCTGTAGAGATCCTGGAGTTCTTCCCAGAAGGAAGATCTGAAAATCTTCAATGCCAATCATGAATAAGTTTCATTTACTTAAAAGAGTGAAACTTGCCCTGGCCGGTTTGGCTCAGCGGTTAGAGCGTCAGCCTGCGGTCCACAGAGACCCGGGTTCGGTTCCCGCTAAGGGCATGTACCTTGGCTGCAGTTTGTCCCCGGCCCTGGTTGGGTCATGTGGGTGGCAGCCGCTCGATGTGTACCTTTCACATTGATGTTTCTCTCTCTTCCTCTCTCTCCTTCCCGCTCTATCTGAGTAAAAAATGGAAAAATGTCCTCGGGTGAGGATAAAAAAATAAAAATAAAAAAAATAAAAATAAAAATAAAATAAAAGAGTGAAACTTGTTCAGTGTTGCATGAATAAACGCACCAGATTAAAAGAAACAATTGTAGATCTTCACCTAAACTGATGTCCTGAAAGAAAAGATCACTTCACTTACCACCCACCTTCCAGTCTTAGGGCATGTTCAATATAGCTATGCCACATAACAATGCATTTATACCCTATCAATCATGAGCAACTTTTAATATGGCACCTAACCTTTCTAAGCCTCTGTATAAGTTTTCTATGGCTGACATAACAAAATACCACAGATTGGGTGGCTTAAACAACATAAATTAATTTCCTCACAGTTTTGGTCTAGAAGTTCATGATCAACACGTCATTAGATTTGGTTTCTCCTGAAGCCTCTCTATTTGGCTTGTAGATGGCTCCCTTCTTATTATGTCTCCACATGTGTCTCCCTGGTGTCCTCCTCTTCTTATAAGGATACCAGTCAGATCAGATGAAGACATACCATAATGGCTTTATTTTAACTCAATCACCTCTTCGAAGACCTTATCTCCAGATAAAGTCACATTCTGAGGTTGAGGCTTTAATATACAAATTGGTGGCCGGGGGTTGGGGGGGAATAATTCAATCCATATCATCCTCTGTAAAATTGGGCATCATAAGGAATTATGTAAGATTCAAACAAGAACATGAATTGGAAAATGCTTTATAAATTATTTCACCATACAAATATTATATCATCAATATCATCATTTTTGTCATTATAATTATTATCTCTGACATATTTTCACCTTTTAAAGAATTATTACATAGTGGTTAAGAGAATATGCTCCAACCCTGGCTGGAGCATCGTCCCGTACACCAAAAGGTTTTGGGTTCCATCCCAGGTCAGAGTGCATATGGGAGGCAATTGATCAATGTTTCTCTTTCTCTCTCCACCTTCCTCTTACTCTAAAATCAATAAAAATGTATCCTTGGGAGAGGAAGAAAAGAGAGAGAACATGCTCCAGAATTAAGATGTCTTGATTCAAATCTTGCCTAGCTGTGACTTTCAAAAATTAACCTCTCTAAGCCTCAATTATTTTATCTATAAATTAGGGATGTAAAAATAGTACCTACCTTTGAGGGTTATTGAAACTATTAAAAGAGGGAATGCATTAAAATGACTAGCTAATAGAACATGCTCAATAAGTGATGGTTGCTAATGGCAGCATTTAGACCTTGTTGCTGCTGCTGCCTCTTTCTCAGCCAGCAGAGGTCTCCATCACAGTCAGACTTAGACTGGCTTCCCCATGACAGTCTGTACTGCAGCTGCCAAGCATATCCACTGTCATCAGAGAAAGCAGTGAGAGAATTAGCATGTTCTCTGAAGGAAGAAGAAAAAGGAAAAAAAAAAAAAGACAAAAGAACAGGGAAGAGTTAGAATTCTATGGTAAAATGTTATGTGAACAGGTGACTGACCATGAATTAAAATGGCCTAAGTTCTAGTACTGCTTCAGAAGCAGACTTTCACTGACCTCGTCCTTAGTTGCATCTCACTTTAGCCAATCCTGAAATTGAGCTGATAAAAATTACTCACATGTACCCCAGAAGAGCAGTAAGAATGAATTGACAAATATTTTTGTAAAGTTCTCTGAAAACAAAGAGTGCTGCTAAATTACATTTGACATTTCTCATAACATTAAGCCTATGCCATCTCTATCATGGGTTATATGCCATGCCTCAGTTTTTCCTCCACTGTAATTTATTTTCTTTAACTTTCTTTTCCCACACAGGCTTACACCTCCAAGTTCAATTATTCTGTCAATTGTGTTTTAAATTGTACTGATTTCTATTAACTACTTGGGGTATGAATTTGTTGATCTGTTCCTTCTGCTAAACCAATCATCTTCACACCCACCAAAAGCTGGAACGACAATTAAACTAAAGAAGATGAAGAAATTAAAGCGTAGAAGTAAAGACAGTGGGGAAGTAGGATTAAAAAGAGCACTGAGGGGAATACACACATGTGCTAAAAAGCATAGCACGGAGCAGACAGAGGCACAGAAGGAAGAGTAGAGCAAGGTAGAGAATCGATCCTTCGTCTGCCTACTACACCTCTCTTTCAGCACCAAGGACAGAGGCTCTAAAGAGCTGCCCCAAGCAACATTCGGTTTAGGGTCCCTCCCAAACCCTCTACAGAAAACGGATGCATTTGAAAGCAGCTATGACACATGCAGTAAGGTCTATTAGGAAAGCTGGAAAAGCAGCACACAAGTGAAGTCACCTTAGAGGCAAAAATGGGTGATTTTCTTCCTGTTCATTTCCACATTTTCTGTGCCTTGGGAAAGGTAAAGTTTGCTTTGCTCGGGCATGTCTGCTATCAGTAAATGGCTACAGGACCTGAGGTGCCTCAACTTCACAGTCTCCAGAAGTCAAAAGAAATTTGCAGGGTAAGTAATTATTTTTTGTTGTTGTTGTTTCTACTTTAATATGCAGTGTTTTCCTGGAAGGTTATTTAATCAGTTTGGGGTTTTGTGGTTCTCTAAGAATATGCATTGAAACTCTGTACCCTCTCTTACTTAAAAATCTGAAATCCTGAGGAAACTGTTTTTATTTTTTTCTCATTTGGGGGGGCAGTAGAAATATGTTCTCTTTTTTTCCCCCAAAATTAAAAGATATAGAATAAAAAAACTGTTTCTATTCCTGGGGTTTGCATGAAAGTTGATTGTATTCCTCTTAACAGTGTTACTTAATTATAAGGGTCTATTATTTTCAACTCCCCCAATTCAGCACCCTGGTAATCCAGGATTGAAGGTTTGGAGAGGCACTGTTTTCAATGGTCTATTTAAAGCAAGACTCTTTCCAAGTCAGAATTCAATTATTCCCAACAGAGATATGCAGTACTTGAGATGTTGATTGTGTATGATTGTGTATGTTTTCTGTAATGATGGCATATAATTTTGAGGGTATTGTTGTTGTTTAATTGTGGGACTTCCATTACTTACTGTAGCTTATTGGGACAATGGAAGTTGTTGCAATTAGGCATTTTTTCCAGTGCATGCATTTAATTTAATCAAATACTATTAAAATGCTCGCACAGATAATAATGCCACAATAGCAAAGTGGAACTTGGATTCTAAACTTATACCTGTTTGTATTTTATAAGTGAAATCCTTTGCTTACTAATACTAAAAGATCAGTAAGGTGTTCGACCTTGGATAAAAGTAAAGAATCGCTGCTTGACACAGCATTAGTTGGATCTCTTATAGCCAGAGAGAAGCAGATATAATATGAGAAACAGTCTTACTCAGACACTTGTCTATTTATAGCTGAACATTTTTAAGGGTCTGTGTGGTTAGCAGTGAGCAGGAATATTGGACAAGGAAAGCACTAATAGTAGCTTAATGAATATCTGATATTAAAGCATCTATACAGAAGGCCGCCATTATGAAGTATGAATTAAAGCAAATACCAAATAGATTTTACTCAATATTAAGTTCAATTTCTAATGCATTAAAGTTTTTTATCAATTAATATTTGCTCACTGATTAACTGATACATTGAGTTCCTCATTTTATCTCTGATTAGAATGATAGAATGCTCCGTCCTTAGAGGTTGTGATGAAAAGTGAGGATGCTCTGCTTTACTGGGCAGGTTTAATTAGGGAGAAAATTATATTACCTTAGCTATGAGATCTCAGTAACCAACTATGGTTTTTCTCTGTACATTTGCCAATAATGTAAATGTGCTCACATATATAAAAACGCTATGTATTTCAATGCACTTGTGAATATTCGTTAGGAAAATAAAATAGACTGCAATTTTAAAAACTAAAATGCCATACAAATGCTAAAGACTACATTTAATAATAATGACAATGTAACTCCCACTGTTTCCATGTGCAGCGCGCACCTGCATTGTCTTCACTGAGCTAGGTCAGGTGATGTGTACAAGAAACTCTTGAAGGGGAATGTTTTAAAATTAGTCCCCATTTCAGGTTTGTCTCCCTCACCCCAACAGTGGGGTAGTTAAGAACATGAACTCTGGAAACAGGTCTTGGGTGGTATCAAGTCCATCATTTACTGGTGTACAACTGTAGCAAAATACTTAACCTCTTGTTACTTACTTCTTCTTCTGCAGTGGGGATAATAATAACACCTGCTTCCTTTATTAAGTTGTTATGAGGTTTAAATATGACAATGCTTATAAATGTTAGCTATAATTATTAATTTTTTCAGAAAATATATCAAGTCTTCATTGACGCCCAGAACTCTGGAGACTAGAGATCAGCATGTAACTGAGGCTTGGGCTGGGTAGCTCAGTAGTTTGGAGTGTTATTCCAATGTGCCAAACTTGCAGGTTTGATCCCTGGTCAGGGCACATACAAGAATCAATGAATGCATAAGTAGGTGAAACAGCAAATCGATGTTTCTCTCTCTCTCTTTCACTAAATAAATTAATAAATAAAAAGAATTTTTTTAAAAGAATATATCTGAGTAAAAGATTAGACACAGCAAAAGACAGGGATCTATGATACAAATGATTTGGTCATTTTCAGGTTAAGGAAAAACTGTTTCTTCCTGGAAATGACTGCCACCGCAACTTCACTCCTAGCATAGACATATTAAATAATTCATGAGTTTTAGATTTAAGGAAACCAGAGATCAAAGCTGGGCTCAACATAGCCCTTTACACATTGTGTAATCTTGAAAAAGTTATTAAACCTCTATCTCTCGGTGTTTTAATCTATAAAAGAAAGATATCAATATCTATCTTCAGGGCTGCTATAAATATTTAAATGAGATAATATGTGTAAAGTACTAGTGTTTGGCACACAATAGCAGCCAGAAGTGGTCATGACTATTGTCTTCAGAAGGAGGTCAAGAACTAAAGGTGTTTGGGGCAGGGGGGTTTCTTTAACTCAATATCCTTAAGAAAAGAGAAAAGAATTACAACCCTATAAGTCTTAATAAGTATCTTCCGAATGAACTCATTGGGAGCCTGGTATGGAACCAGGTGCCAAAGAGGTACCCACAAGTGTTCCAGGCAGACTGTAGTTCAGAGCTGAGGTACTGAATATCAGCAAAGCAGGGCAGATAGCATAGCTGATGGGGGCCTGACCACTCTCTGTGCTCTGCTTTTTAAACAGATTACGCCCTAACTCTAACACATGTTAAAACATACTATAAAGACCGAGATTAGTCAATACTTTGCAAGAAATGCAAAGGTTCATTAAAATTTGTAAGTGGTGGTACATATAATAAATCCAAAAGAGAGAAGCCAGCAGCAATCTTCTAGTCCATGCCCTCTTCATGTTTCCATCTCCCATTCACTCTTAACTGCTAACTCTCTTTGCTGAGCTCGTCAGTAATCTCCTAATTTCCAAGTCCATTAGATGCTCTGCAACTGTACTTTATTTGATGACCCCTTTACATATTCCCACTTTTCCTTTAACAATAAAAGCTACAATATTTCAAGTGCTACATGCCAGACACTATGCTCGAGCTGTGATTCACAAAGGGGAGAGCAATTTTGCTCCACAAAGGCCACTCGAGAATGTCTGGAGACATTTTTGGTTGTCACAGTTTAGGGAAGGGGAGTGCTACTATCATCTAGTGGGTAGAATGTCAAGGATGCTGCCAATCATCCTACGACAGATGCACAGGACAAGCCCCCACAACAAACTGTCAATAGTTGCAAGCCTTTGCCTATATAATTTTATTTGATTATCATCATAACCTGTGGCATGGATATGATTATTCTCATTTTGCTGATGAGGAAACTGTTTATCATTATGAATTAGGGAGTAATTATTAAATTAATGAATACTCCAGGCTCTTTGCTTCTTTTACCTAAAACCAATTTATTTTCTCCTAGCATATCTATCAGAGGGAGAAACCCCAGCCACGCTCTGAGTTATATAAGCAATGCTGGTTTAAAAAAAAAAAAAATCTAAGGAGAGAGGAACTTGAAGCAATTAGCTGAGAGGTGGGGAGTAATCTAACATCTCACTCATTTTCTGCTTTCATCTCCCACGCCCACAACTCATCAGGAACAAACCAGGCCTCCCCACCCCCCACCTGCTGCTATAAAAAATCCAAGACCAGAGTCGGTACCATGCAAAATAAATAAATAAATCAGAAATCTATGCAACTGTGGTTTCAACATCAGGCTCAGAATTGATTTTCAGAGTTGAAGGTTTCCCTTTGCATAATTAGTCATTGACATTCAGCTGTACTATTTTTAATTAGCTGTCAAACCTCGGCAGAGTAAAATGTCCAGCAAGATGGTAACAAATATCCCAAGGTTTCCTCTCGCTCTTACCTGACAAGTGAGCAGAGGCCGCATCAGCCCACTGCAGCCCCCAGGAAACAGTGCTCCCAGGCCACTGCCTTCCAAGGGGGCCCAGGTGCGGAGGGAGGCTTCCTGGCCTGAGCCTGCCTCCAGCGTGAAGTGTCCTTGAACAATCAGAAAGCCTTGTACTTTTCCAAAAGCTCTTGGCAGCAGCAGTGCTAGCTCCAGGGTAGCAGCTGCCCTTCTCCGAATAATGAGGAAATTATAATTATTATCAAAAATTATTATTATGCTTTAAAATATATTGAGTGCAAACAGTGTGCCAAGACAAAGAACAATTTATTTGAACAGTTCTCTGAATTCGATCCAAGTTGGTCTCCCCTTACAATCATTTATTCATTTTAACACTTACACATCCCAGGCTGAAATATTTCAAAGTGAGGGACGAAGTGGCAGCCGTGATTAGGCCAATCTCCCAATCAGAGGACAGCTGTGGGTGTCTGGAGTGAGAGCAAACCTGGCCACCAAGCCAGCCTCTACCTCTGCCAGGGCCTGGAACAGGAGATCCCATGGAGGCCCATATACTCCATATGTAAATATTTTTACCATAACCAACAAACCATTGAATAAAATGTTTAATCCTTCTGCCTTGACAAATATTCCTTCCTAATTGGAAAGGCCAGGCTTGAAGCTAGCATTCCTGAGCCCTTCAGAGTTCCATACAAAATGTGAGAGGGCTGAAGAAGCTGCCCCCCAACCCCGTCCTGTCCCAGGGACTCTGTCCTCCTCTCTCCCCACCTCAGGCTACACCCAAGCTATTCACCTGAACTTCCAAAGAGCTACCACGTGAGCCCAGGCCCCCCCGCCCACACACACACACACACATGGTACAGTCTCTCCTGAAGGTGACAGATTCAGAACAATAACTGTGCTGCCCTAGGAACAGGCTCCAAGCAGTTTGACCCAAGAATTCTGTGATCTTTGTACCCGGAGCATGTTCTAAAAGGGGAGTGTGGGCTCTTGGCAGACCTGCTCCTTGGGGCTACAGGAGGGCATGACCTCACCCTGTAGGGAGCATATGACCAGGTGGGGTCCAGAGTAGGTTCCTCTACAGCACAAAGCCCAGGCCAGAGCCGCTCTCGCCCGGATCTCAAGGCCATGCTGTAGAGCCCTCCCCAGCATGTGGCTTTAATGCACTGTTACCCGGGGCACACAGGCATTTCCATATTTTTCTTCAGGATATGGTGACTTTTGTCCCCTTGCAGACACACACAAACTGGGATCTAATTGCTCAGAGCTGGCCCCATCAAGCTGGTGTCGCGGGGACTGCTGACTGGCTCTGATGCCTTTCCCCGTCTAAGTCCAAAGTCCCCACAGTTTGGGGATTGGCCCTTCCCAGTGGGACAGTGACATGGCAGTTGTTATGGCTTTCAGATGCCAAGGAGAGTGTTGAGAGAATTAGAAGGCCGGCACGCTAGTTCTGCCACTAATAAACCGTGTGACTTAGACATGTCACTCATCTCTCTGGGTTTCAGTTTCCCTGTTTGAAAAGTGAGGGCATTGGACTGGGTCAGAGGGTGAAAACAGGTGGCGCATGGGTCATTGGCCCATGGATGTGGGATTTGGGGCTGGGAGGCAGGGCTTAAACATTCCTCTAATCAGTAATCAATCTTTAAAAATTAAATTTCAGCCCTGGCCTGTTTGGCTCAGCGGTTAGAGTGTCGGCCTGCGGTCCAGAGAGACCCGGGTTCGGTTCCTGCTAAGAGCATGTACCTCGGTTGCAGTTTGTCCCCGGCCCTGGTTGGGTCGTGCGGGTGGCAGCCACTCGATGTGTCCCATTCACATCGATGTTTCTCCCTCTCTTCCTCTATCTTCCTCCCACTCGGTCTGAACAGAAAATAAAAAGTTGTCCTCAGGTGAGGATTTAAAAAAAAAAAAAAAGATTTCAAATGAAATTCAACACATGAATTTTCCCTAAATATAAACACCACTATATTGCCTCTAGACTCCGTTACTCTTGAGATCGTCTCTCCCAACCCTACCGTGCCCTACGTAAGCTACAGGAGAGAGAATAGGAGATTGAAGGAAGTTAAGAGAGACAGAGGGAAGCAAAAGAAAAAGCAAAGGGGGCAATAGAGGCTGAGAGGCAGGAAATAAAGCCAGGGGGTGAGAAGCTAAGAGAAGCAGACCAATAAAAGAAAACGAACTAACGTTTACATAGCTTTCCAGGTGTCAGATACGGCTTTCAATGTCTTACACATAAAATAGCTCGTTTAATCCTCACTAACACCCTATGGGACAGGTTCTGTCGTGTCCCCCATTTTACACAGGGGGAAAATGAAGCTCAGAGAGGTGAAGTGACGGAGTCAGAAAGGAGCAGAGCTGGAATTCTAATTCTGCACCGGCTCCCATCTCACTCAGCCCTGCACAACCTCTCAACCTCGCCCCCACCTCACTGCCCCCGTCTCCAGCCACACTGGCCTCCCTGCTTTCTTGTCTTTGTAGCTGCTGTTCCTCTGCTTGGGCAGCTCTTCCCCTAGAAATCTGCATAGTTGGCTTCCTCGGATCCTCCGGATCTTGACCCACTTGTCACCTCCTCCACGAGGGCTTGACTACCCGAACTCAAAACTGCACTCAGACACCCTACTCACACACACAGTCCTCTCCCCTTACCCCCTTTCCTGATTTACTGTTCTCCAAAATACATAGTACATCTTTTATTTATCTTGTTTATTCATCTTCTCCCCCTGAATGGAGGCTTTAAGAGGGCAAGAATTTTCTTTAAATCCTCCTCTGAGGATATATTTGTATTGATTTTTAGAGAGAGAGAAACATCAATGTGAGAGAGAAATATTGATCTGTTGCCTCTCGTATGTGCCCTAACTAGGGGAATCAAACCTGCAACCTTTTGGTGTACAAGATGACACTCCAACCAACTGAGCCACCTGGCCAGGGGAAAAGGGCAGAAATTTTTATTATCCTTTTGTTCATTGCTATATTTTCAGTGTTTAGAAGAGTACCTGTCATACAGAAAGTGTGCAATAAATATTTATTGAAGCAATACATCAAAATATGTATGCAAGTGAGCTCCAAAGAGTCTGATTTTATCAACGTTGTTTTCTGTCCCTTCCCAGGACACTCACTGGGGTCACTCCTCTCCTTCTGGGCTATGGTGCCACTGAGTCAGCTGAGTGGCCACATCAACTCCACCTGTGGGACAGACAACTCCACCGGGGACAGTGGCGCCCACCCACCTGCCTACTATGCCCTGTCCTACTGTACGCTCATCCTTGCCATTGTCTTTGGCAATGGTCTGGTGTGTGTGGCTGTGCTGAGGGAACGGGCCCTACAGACCACCACCAACTACCTGGTAGTGAGCCTGGCTGTGGCAGACTTGCTGGTGGCCACCTTAGTGATGCCCTGGGTGGTGTACCTGGAGGTGAGTGAGCCCAGGTTCGGGCTGTGCATGTGACCATGTTTGTCCTTGTCTTCCCTGAGCTCCTCACCTTCTGGGCTCAAATGTTCCCTACTGTGATCCTGGGATTGGGAAAGAAAGGAAAGCTCCTGTCCTTCTCCCTTTCGTGAGGGAGCTGAAGGTCTTGAGGGAAGCCATTATCCAGCATCACTTACCACATCAGAACCAGGGAACTGGGCATGATTCTCTTCCAGGGTCTCCAGTGTCCAAGTAACCGGACTTGAGTGACGGGACTCATCCTAAAAATGCACCAAGTTTACTCTCTGTGCCAGGCATGTCTCAAAGACGTGAGGGTTTGGGGGAGGCCGTCCAATAGGCACCTTTATCGTGTTTCAATGTACATACATGGGGGTGAGAATGTGCAAGAGGGATTTGGAACAAGGGTGGGGAGGGCAAAAGGAATTATAGGGGAAAAAATTAATGAATAAGGGGAAAAAGAGAGAAAGAATAGTTTGCAAATAGATCAGACTTCTTTAGATGGTTCAGTTGCCCTCAGACTTGGTTTCTCCTCCAGGCTATCGGCTCTCCACAGACTCCTACTGATGGAACAAACCAAGCCTTCAAATTTATATTTTTGATAGTACAGAGCCCTCATCAATTAGATAATGCCGCAGACCCTGGAGAATTCTTTTGGAAAGAAACATTTCTTAAATTTGAAAGTATTTTCATTCAAAAGTGCAAAGCAGAGTCGGGAGGTGATCAAGACAAAACATTCATTTACCTATACCTGTTCAAGAAATAGATATTCTTACCAGGAAAACATGCAATTTACTAAAGAGTTTTCTTAAAGACAGCTTAATATGCTATTAATATTTCTCCTCTGCACTGTGTACTATTCTAAAGAGGTATTCAATGAAGGATCAAAATGATGCTATGATTAAGAGAAATTAAAATTCATCAAATTAATATCTCGGTTAATATTAATAGTAAAGATGACAGTTAATTAAGTATGACATATCACAGGAGAGCAAAAACCTCGAACATAGCCTGCCTAGGCTGGTTCTCATATTAAAGAATGACTGGGAACTAAAATTAGACTTATGATCTTAACAGAGAGACATTAAAAAAAAGAAAAGGAAAAGAAGAAAAACAACTAGGATGATTAGAAATAGATTTAACAGCTAAGGCAGCAATTTTCAACCTTTTTCATCTTGTGGCACACGTAAACTGATTATTAAAATTCTGCAGCACACCAAAAAATATGTTAAATTTTTTGCCAATCTGACAAAAAAAAAAAGGTATAATTTTGATTGATTTACCAAAAAATAATGATAATAGTAATTACCTACCCCTTTTGCTCCAAAGTGACTTTTTAAAAAATCAGGTGCCTATACTTGTATATAAGAATTTTTGTTACCAAGAATTAACCAATCAGATGCAACCTTATTATGCAACTCTATTATATGACCTATATATTCAAGACAGGACATTCACACCTGACGGCTATTTTGTGTTGGCTATTGTCTTTTTTTTTATTTGACAATCTAAGGAAAAAGAGGTCAGTACCCCTGACTAAATGGGTATTGCATGTTTTAAAAATTCCTGCAGCACACTGGTTGAACATTATTAGGCTAAGAAAATACTCACAGGGAAAAAATATGCATTTATTCTTTCCAGTTGTGATCATCTTGATGGCAAAGGGCTTTGTAATAATCTTGACTTTTTTTTCAACCCAATTAGACTGAGAGAGCCTTGAAGTTAGAGGCAATATCTTTGTTCTTTTTTCCTGTAGTCCAAACACACTACCATATATTGGCTTTATCTACAGGCAAAAGGTAAGCTATAAACCTCATATGTGCACAACACAAGCAAGATAGAATATCCGTGTCCCCAAATTTCTAGTAGATGTGTCAAGATGTACTTTGATTGGACTGGCTTATGGCACATAATTTTCTCTAAACTAATCACTGAATAGAAAAGTTGGTTTAGCCCTGGCTGGTTTGGCAGTGGTTAGAGTATCAGCCAGAGGACCAAAGAGCCACAGGTTCAATTCTTGTCAAGAGCACGTGGTTCAGTTTCCGGTCCTAGCAACCAATCGATGTGTTTCTTTTACATCAATGTTTCTCTCTCTCTCTCTCTCTCTCTCTCTCTCTCTCTTTCTCTCTCTCTCTCTCTCTCTCTCTCTCTCTCTCTCTCTCTGTCTCCCTCACCCTATCTGAAGATGAATGGAATTATATCCTCCAGTAAGAATTTAATAAAAGAGAGAAGTTGGTTTAGCAAAGAAGATTTCCTTCCATGGAACACATCAGCTGCTCAGGAATCTCATGGATTCCCAGTAGAAACAAGGACTATTGGAAAGAGAGAAGAGGACAGTCAGCAAGTAGGCACCACATGGCTTTCATTGTTATCATTCTCATCATTAAGGCGCACAGGAGCCTGGGTTGGGCAGCATATAAAGGTGAACAAGCAGCAGCCAATCACTGACCCTCTTCAGTTTTCTCTGTGCCCAAGCCTAGCAGAGAAGTGTGTGATAAAAACCATGCAGGTGATCTCAGCACAGTTATATTCCAGAGGGCCCCGGCCTGGCTGTCTCTTTAATTCAGTTTGCAGAATTTTCTCCAAAACTCTCTTCTGTGCCATACCAAATAGTTCTACTTCAGATTCACTCTCAAGTTTTTAATCTCCTGCTTTAGAAGCAACAGTCTGGAGCTTTCCTCTCCAAGCACAACCATCCCTTTTGTTCCACTCAGTTAAGCACCTTTTGTGATGTTTAATGCACTTATATCAGGGCAGAAAGGGAACCTAAGCAACCAGGGGAACATTTGCAATACTAAACTCGGAGTATTCGGGAACCGATCTGTACAGGAGAAAAGATACACGTGTTAAGTAACGTAGACGTGCAAAAGGAGCAGGGTGGGTTCAGGCAAGGAAACTCACCACAGAAAGAGAGATCAAGATCAGACAGTAATGACAAGAAAGAGCAGCACCGTTTGGGGAGAGAGGAGCCTTTGGGCCTTGTAATGGTATTGATTATTAGAGATAAAGGAGAGTCTGCATTTTGAATGGGCTCCTCCGTGATCTTTATGCACTCAAAGTACAGACTGCTGGGTTTATCCCAGATCTCCCAAACCAGAATGTCCAGGAGTGGCCTTGGAAGTGTAGAGTAATTATACCAGTCCCCCAGCCCAGCCCCTCTCCCACCCAAGTGGTGTGTGCAGCCAGCCAGCCATCTGCTGCAAACTGATCTTTAGGAACCACTGATTTATAAAAACCTCGTTTCACAGACGAGAAAATTGGAATTCAGAGGAGTAACTCCCCTACCTTACCCCACAGCAATCCCCTCCTGGAAAAAAAAAATCCCAAATGTGGCAAACAAAAATAAATTAAAGAGGCTAATCAGAGAAGTAATTCCTTCTTTGCCCCTTGGCTATCCCCCTCAAAGCAACTAAAAATCCATCCCTTAGAGCAAAAATTCTTAATCTGGGGAGTCCATCGATTTGGCTGTAAATAAAATTACTTCCTTATTTTCACTAAACTGAAATTTAGCACTTCCATCAATTATGAATGCAGGCATCAGCCCACAGCAGAAGAAATCCTTACTGTCCCCAGTAGAAATCACAAATGTGTGTATTTTCTAGTTGCATTGCAGTTGTTGCACACACCTTGAAATATCATTTACATTCATCATTACCTTGAAATCATAGGCATTCAGGCCCTGCCACTAGGTCTTGTCATTTAACGCATTATTAAAGAAACATATATATTCAAAATACTTTGGTAACTATATTTCAATAAAATTGGTACCCTCTGTGATCCACTGTCTTTTATTGTGTGCACGTAAAAACATTCTTCTGAGAAAGGAACGATGAGGCAAAGGGTTCCCATGGAACAAAGAATGCTTAAAGAGCCCTGCTTTAGGACAACCATCTTTGACGGTAATGTCACTATACACGCACACACATGTGCACGCACACGCATGTGCACGCACACGTATGTGCACACACACTGTCTACACCCTCCAGACCAGCACTTCCCAAACTTCCCGGGCCGTAGAAATCACGGGAGGGACTTGTTACTCTGAGGAGGAACTGAGAATCATTTTGTTTAGCAAGAGCCTCGGGTGCTTTGGGAAATGCAGCTTTAGAACCAGGAAATTTGGGAAATGCTGCCATAGGCTGTGTCTGTTGAAAATCAATAGCCAACTTTTCTACCTGAAGACACTTTGTTGCCTTCTCCCACCTTCTGTATTGCCAAAGGGAGTTAGTTCTATTCATTAGCAAGTGAGAGTAACGCCACCTGGCTGCTCTATTATTCTAAAGTGAGTTATTTATTAGAATTTGGGGGAAAGGTCCAATCAAGTCTCTAAAGAGCCTTAAATCAATCAGATGTTTTTCTTACCTTTTTTTTTTTTTTTCTGCTGTAATTTCAAAAATCACTTTACCTTTTGAGTTCTCCCAACATTTTCGACTTACCTCACTGTCAGCACTTATCACACTGTATTATAGTTATTTTCTTAGTGTCTGTCTCCTGGGCCCTCAACTCACCCACACCCATTCACACAGCCCCCCCCCCCCCAACATGCACTCACTATATTCCTTTGCCCTAGGGACAAAAACAGATTTAATTCGTTTCAGTACACCTCCCCGAGCAAAGTATCAGGCATATAACAGGCACTTAATAAACATCGGATACATGGGTAGATGGATGAGTAAATGCTACCTCTTCTTTCTCCTATATTATCAGAATGAGATTAAATTGTACACTTCCCAGAAGCAGAGTGTTAAGGTGCTGATCTTTGAGAGGCAAAATAGAGTCATGGTTAATATTAAGGGTCTGCAATGCCAGCTCCTTTTACTATCTGTGTGTCCATAGGCAAATTACTCAATCCTTCTCAGTCACCATTTTGTTATCTATAAATTGGAAGTAATATTTACCTCACTGCGTTGCTATTTGAGGTACATGTTCTTAGCCCTTCACAGCTCTTTATTCATCACTTACTACAGTAGTTGCTTGGTGTGGAAGATTCCAGTAAAATAAAAAAGTATTTCCATTATTCATCCCACCAATTAGAGGCTCACTTTAATGAATAAACTGTGGGGAAGGCTCAGTGATGGCACCTTGGTGGGGACTACTTTAATCAGCTAATCAGATTGTTTTCTTCTTGTCACTTAACTGAGATGAAGGAGAGAATGGAAATGTTGATGGCAGAATTGGAGGAAAAAAGAAAAGATGCCAGAATGGGGTGGCACAGTGGGGCCTGGAAGTCAGAGGAGAGTTTGAGGGCTTTCGTCCATAGGAACTAAAGAAACAGGGCACCAGAGACACCTGCCAGGTACCAACTGTCTCCAGGCCCCAAGGTCAGCAGCCACCACTGTATCAAGCACTGCTTTTTCCAACCCTGAGATAGGGGTAAGCTTTCATCCCTTTCTCTGTGATGAAAACGACAGCAGTACTCTCTCATAGGATTATAACCAGCACTGGAGGCCATGTACATAAAGTAATTTTGCAGAACGTCAAGACTCAGTAAGTCAGAGAAAAACAACTACCATATGATTTCATTTATATGTGGAATCTAGTGAACAAAATAAACTAACAAACAAAATAGAAACAGACTCATAGACACAGAGAATAGACTGACAGCTGTCAGAGTGGAGGGGGTTGGGGGCTGGATGAAAAAGGTGAAGGGATTAAGCAAGAAAAAAGATCCTCATAGACACAGACACCATTATGGTGATTACCAGAGGGAAAGGAGGTAGGAGGAGGTAGAAGAGGGTAAAGGGGGATAAATGGTGATGGAGAAATGTCTTTGGGTGGTGAACACACAATAAAATATACAGATGATGTATTATAGAATTATACACTTGAAACCTATATAATTGTATTAACTAATGTCACCCCAATAATTCAATTAAAAATAGAAATAAAAGACCCAGTAAGCATTCAATGAATGCTAGCTATTAGTATTAACACAGACTGTGTCAGAGACCGTTTATCTTTTCAGCATAGATTTGCATGCCAAGCACTGCTCCAGGAGCCAGGGATGCAGCAACAAACAGGTACAAATCCTGCTCCTACGGAGCTGATTAAGTAACAGTCATTTAATTTCCTATCAAGTAAGTGTTTACTTTGTCTTCAAAAAGCTGTAAGAGCACATTCAGTACGAAACAAATTCAGTCTTCAGAATCTGAAGTTTTACAGCTATAGAAATCCCTGGAACAGGTCGTGTGGGTCCATGACCATAATAGAGTAAGTTCTCAATAAATGTTAGATTGTATTAATGATATCAGGATCTCATGATGACCTCTAGCTATTTTATTTAAGAATGTCTTGCTTCTCCAATAATCTTGTAAGTTCTTCAAGGACAGGACCAGAAGTAAATTTTATAAAACCTCTTAAAACACAGAACATACCCTCCTTCTGTGAACTAAGTATTAGGAGCTTCACAGCTACTTGCTTTATGGTTGGATGAATGGATGAATTTTTGTTGTTCTAAATATACTCTCTCATCTACTTTGCAACTCCAATACACAGATACAAACAGGGACTCACAAGGGGGGGGGGGCATTTTTTCCTTAATTTAAGACACAAATCACAGTAAATATATGTTAAACATATGTTAAAATGAGAGTTCGTATACAAAATTCAACTTTCTGCAAGAAGCTCTTACATTAAACATCTGTCCTATGTCCTAAGTAAAACCACCTTTTATTCTCCTTGCTCCCTTAAATCACTGTGTTATTATTACTCTACGTCTCCCTTTTACAAAGTTTTTCAGGGTAAGTGGAGGTGGAAGAGGGTTTAGGGGAGATAAACGGTGACTTAAAAAAATTAAATAAAGAGAAAAAATTTTTTATTCTCAGAATTCTTATAACTTCATATTAGGTCTTTATTTATATAGAGCCACATGATTGAACTGAAAGAGAGAAATCCACAGTCAAATGAGCAAAAATGATGACCTCAGAGCTAGTCTGAACTTCTCATTGTTGTTTTTAAACCAAGTATCTTTAGTCAGAGTTTCTGAAAAATAGGGTCTGTAGTTGACCAAATAAGTGATAAAATCAGATGCTACAGCACCATCTTTAAGCACCATCGCTTTCTCTTTTTCCTTTGAGAAACTACGTCAGAGGCAACTGGACCTATTTTTCACTCTTTCTTCCTCTTAATTAGCCACTGGGCCTCCCCAGCAGGGACGCTCAGATGTGTCCCTGAGAACCACGATCCCCAGAATGGCAGCCCCACGGGCTGGCGAAGGAACTGAAGCCTCGGCCCAAGAGTGGCATTGGTGGGCATTCTGAGCGTGGCAGTCTCCCTGCCGGTTCTCTCTGGTATCAAAAATTTATATTAAAAATAATTTTTTAATATTTTTTTATCCTCACCCAAGGACATTTTTCCACTTTTGCTCAGACAGTGTGTGTGTGTGTGTGTGTGTGTGTGTGGAGAGAGAGAGAGAGAGAGAGAGATATAAAGATCAACGTGAAAGGGACATATCCAGTGGCTGCCTCCTGCAGGACCCCAACCAGGGCCAGAGACAAATCGCAACCAAGGTACATGCTCTTGGCCGGAATCAAACCCGTGACTCTGGTCCACTGGCCGACACTCCAACCGCTGAGCCAAACAGACCAGGGCAAAAAAAAAAAAATTAATAAAACAGATATGTGCTAGAATATAAATTAAATTATCTACATTCCTGACTCTTTTCAAGTGTTACTGGAAGTTCTGGAGTTTGAAACACACGTGTAAATGTGTGAGGCCAGAACCATGCTCCCTGATTCTGTGAGTGGTAGGCAGGATCCAGGCCCCTTTCCAATGCGCCAGAGCCTGTCTTTCTCCCCAACTCTAGGTGATTGGGACCCGGGTGTTTAAGGCAGGCACATTGGCACAGACTTATCTTACATAGGCTTTGCAGGATGCTTCCAAGTTTTAAAACCAGCAGCCAGATAGAATTCCATTTTGGAGGTAAGTTTTCTGAAAAGCGTGTTCTCTGCTTATTTCCTGGGTCCGCGGTGAGCTCTCCGCTGCATGGAGGGCTTCAGAGAGGCGGCTGTGCACAGTGCACACACCTGGCCGTCATCCCGCTCCTGTACTACCAGCCGTGCATCTCTGAGATGTTACTTAACCAAAATGGGTTTAGTTGCCTCCTGAGTTTGAACTAAACCAGTGATTCTCAAACTTTGGTGCGATTGGGGGTGGAGAGGGTATTTATTTTTCAATGAAGATCCATGGGTCCCAGGTCCAGAAAGTCTAACTCAGTAAGTCTCGGGAAGGGTTCAGAAATCTTCACCTTTAATGAGTACCCCACTGTGGACCACACTTTGAGAAACACTGAACTAGTTGCTTTGGACGATCCCTTCCAGCTCCAACATTCTAGCATTCTGTGATTTTTTTTTTTTTTCTTCCCTTTTTTGTGTGACCAATCTTGGGCAGCCTGTCACTCCCTTGATGTCTGCCTGCCCTTGGTAATGATGATGTACCAGAGGGAGGGCACGCCAGTGTCTGTAGGGGGCAGCCTAGGGACGGCATGGAATTGATTGGGTGGTTGTCGCTTAGTGGGGGGAACACTAATATCCTTGCCTCTGATGCTCAGGTGACAGGCGGAGTCTGGAATTTCAGCCGCCTTTGCTGCGATGTTTTCGTCACCCTGGACGTCATGATGTGTACAGCCAGCATCCTGAACCTCTGCGCCATCAGCATCGACAGGTAGAGCTGGGATTCCCTTCCTGGGTTAGGAGGAAGAAGGCCTAGACCCAGCGGGAAAGCTGCTCTTGCTCTGTTTGAAGCACAGGCTTCGCCTCTGAGGGCACTGGGGTCACTGCAAAGTAGAACTTACCCCTGGGACATTGTTTCCTCTTTTTCTTTTTAACTATGGTTGTGGCTGAAAAAAAAAAACCCTGTGACAGGAGAGAAGTGATTGTTCTATAAGCTTTCCTAGTCTTCCCTGTCCCCCAGGTCACTACAGAGGCTTCTGTTCTGGCTTTCCACCATCCTTTGGGGTTTTTGTGATTCCTAGTTGGGAGAAGGTGGGGGACAAGGATGAAAGGTGAGCTGATTTGGGTTGGGGAAAAAATTTCCTGATACTATTTTATTTGTTTTGGTAAAAAGGGGGCAGAAGGGAGTCCTTATGTGATTTTTGGACATTTATTAAATAAACATGTTATTTCCAGAAGTAACAGACAGCATCTGGTTTGCTGTAGCATCACCTCCAACTCCTAACCTCTTCTACTAGTCTCTGCTGTGTCTACTGAGAGCCCTGAACAAAGAATATTAAACTGAATTCAGTGGTCCCTGCCTGAGGGTAGCCAGTGCGTACATCACAAATATGCACCTTCAGGAAGGACATGCGAGAGTAGCAGATCAACCTTGGAGGAAGGAGGGTAGAGCTGTATAAAGAGAGCTTCTAGAAGAGGCTCTGGGACAGCCCCCTCCCAGCCTCCTAGTTCCTGACCCCCCTACTCTCTACCAGCTTGAGAACGAGCCTGTGCACTCCGTCCACACACAGTCACACATGCGGCTGGTGGGTGAGGCTATGCAGGCTGTGCCTTGCACAAGGGTGTGGGGACTGAATTCAGCCAGGGCTTCCTTTGCCAAGGCTTGAGTCCACCAGGAGAGGGTGCCTTTCCTAATTTGCGCAACAGCATGATTTTGCTGGCAGCAACCATGTTTAACACACCTTCTATTTTCACCACTGAAGACACCACCAACAAGAATAAGCTTTAATCGGCTTCTGTCCCTTGCAGGAAAACTCCCAGAATGCATAGCACTCACCTACCTGGAACGTGAAGTGACAAGCTGCTTATGCCTTAGTCCCCAGTAGAAAAGGATGCTCCAATCGCCCCATAAGCTTTCCTCTAGGAACAAATCCTCACCAAACCTCAAACTGGAGCCTCCTTTCTATTCCAGGAATGAAAATGGGCCTTGGAAAAACTGTCTCCATTATCCTCCACAGCAGTGCGCAATACACAGCATTAAATTCTGTTCGTGTGATGCCAAATAACTGGTCAATTCATTAAAGACACAGTCATTCATGCAGACCTTTGGTCTCCACACAATGCTAGTCACCCATCTGACAATCTTGACCAAATGGATTCAGCATTTTTTGGTCATGAAGCCCTGGTCTGTAATAACAGGGGAGCAAGAGATAGGAAAGAAAAGGAAACTATGAAAAGGTTTTTGAAAGCAAGTAATACTATTGTCATTAGGTTCTTAAGCATAGCTCTGGATGCCTAAGAATTGGATTAAAGCCGCCTTTTCTGTTCCACAAAGCAGAGTGGGTGAGCACGAGGCCCCGCCCCCTTGGCTCCTTGCCTCCCACCACCTCCTGGGTCAGAACAAACTTGGGGAGCGGGCTGAGAAAGTGTCAGAGCAGGAGGACACGATGCGAGCGGTGAGAATTCAAGTCCTCCTCGAGAAGCCCAGGAATAATGCAACCAAATTCATTCACTGGGGAGTTCTTTAAGTGGCTCTCAAACGGCACCCATCACAGGCAAGCCTCTGCGTCTTCGCAGGAGCACAATAGGTACCAGATGAGTCACAGGCACCTTGGAGTTTTAGTTTGCATCTAAATAAGCACTTTCTATCTGCAAAGGGCTTTCTCGTCATTTGCAAGAAGCTTTTTTCTTCAACAATTCCATGAGGGGAGTCCACAGAACTAAAGATTTATTGAGCCCCCTGACTGACGAAATAAAGGGTGGTGAAAAGCAGCCCTCACGGGGATCTGGGGCTCATTAAACCCAGGCGGGAGTTAGATTCGGGCCCTCCCACCCAGTCCAGCAGCTCACCTCCCCCCCCACCAGCCTCCTCAAAAGGCACCCTCATCGGTTCCCCCACGCACACCTCCCACTCTGGGACAAGGCTTTATCTTCCGTGGAGGTCGGATTCTTCGAGGATCTTGAGACTTTCAGTAGAGTGACAAGCACACAAACCCAGTCACAGACATGGGACTCAGAAAGGGCAGGCAGTTTAGCTCATTTGTGCAGAACTGTTACATGCTTGCACCCAGTCCAGCAGCTAGCACCTGGGTGCTCCAATTCCCCTGCCAGTGCTCTGTCTGTTCCAGTGACTGGACCTTTTCATTGGTGGAGGTGGGGATGGGCGTCCCGGGAGGGGCCTCTGGCCACGCCAGGAGCCCAGCTCTATAGGTGCTATTTTCCTGGAGTAAACAAGGCATAGTTCCTATGTCTTTAATGCCCTGGCTACCTCTGTGCTCAGCCTAACTTGCTTGATAATAAAAGCAACACGATAAAAATAGCTACCATTTACTGAGCATGTACTATGTGCAGGACTAAGAGCTTTTTGTGATCGCTAACCCTCCTAACACCCCAGCCAGGCAGGTGTATTATCTCCATTTTCCCAATAAAGATGCTGTGTAGATAAACGTGCCCAGACTCCACAGCTGGCGGGTGCAGGACTAGGGATTCAGTCAGCCTCTTTCTCCTCTGCACATGCCTTGCACAGAGGCCCTTGGCCACGCTGTGAGGCCCCTGGCTCATTAGCCACACTGCCTGCCTGCAAATCCTGGCTCTACCACTTAATAACAATTCGGCCTTGGGCAAGTCAATTAACCTCTCTGGGCCTCAGGTTTCTTATCAGTTTAGCATAATAGCAAAAGGGTTGATATGACGATCGAATGAGTTAATATCTCTAAAGCACTTGATACAGTTGTCTGGAACACAGAAAATGCTATATATACTTGCTTGATAAATAAATGTTCCCTAATAATCAGGAATAAGGGTCAGACATCCATAAATTCACTGATATGAACAATCACAGGTCCCTTGGGCTTGCACAATAATAATGGCAATTATAGTAATACAGTTAAGCCCTGTGGGGCTGAATCATTATCCCCATTGTACAGATAATGAAGATGAGTCAAGAGACGCTAAACCTCTGGCCCACAGACAGTTAAGTGGAAGAACTGGGATTTAGACGTTAGTCTGTTTCTGATGCCCACGGACTTAACCACCTTGCACACCGCCGGTGTTCGGGCCACGCCAGAAAGAGTACAGAGGGTTAGGACCTCAAACAGAAGGGACAAGGCTCTGGCGGGGCAGCGACAGCGCAGGGCGCTGCGTCGGCGCAGGCTAGGCCTCGGAACCCCACGCTGAGCGCAGCCCACCAGGGCTGAGGGGGCCCTGGGTTGGCCTCCTCCTCTTCGCATGCACGCCCAGCCCTGTCTTTGCCTGCAATCGGTCATCTGCGATCGATTTGAGAGGAGATCAGAGGCAAGTGAGAATTCAGGGTCCCTGCAAGTGCTTTAGGAACCAGGGGGCTGAGCTTTGCCTCCCTGCCTCCCACTGGGCCTGGAAAGCCCCCCGGTGAGCAATGAACTTCTCACCCCAGCGGAGCTGGCAGAGTTCTTGCTGCATTATGGTGCCCTCCGATGGCTAATTCGGGAACAGCCTCGAGGTCTCAGTCCCTCTGGAAAACCCTGGAGGCAAGTTCGGGGGCCTCATTTGTTCTAAATGTTTGATCATGTTTAAAAAATAATTAGAAAAGAATGTAATGCAACAATGGTAAATGGCGTCTCATCTTTCACTTCTTACCCAAGTTAACAAGAAGCTTTGACAAAGAAAGTGACCCTAATGCAAACTTTCTCAAACTTGTCTAATCATAAAATGCACTTGCTTGTTAAAAATACACATTTCTGGGTTTCCCTCCAGAAACACTTACTCGACCTATCCAGCGGTGTGTCTTGAGAATATGTATTTTAACAGAACCCCAGACAAGTACTAGAACCCAGTTAATCGAGGAAACTCAGCTCTGGACATAGTACAAGCCACCCTTCCAGCCACCTTTCCTGAGGACACCCTTGTCTCCACAGGCCTCAGAGGCTTGTCAGTGCCCTTGAGAGGGAGTGGGGCACCAGGAGAGACACTGGCCTCGGAGATGGCAGACCTGGCTCCGCCACGACCAGCTGTAGGACCCCGGGTTCATCATGTAACCTCTCTGTGTCTCTGATTCCAACTTTATAAAATGGAGCCAGTGTTCCCTACACTTGCTGGCTTATTAAAAATCAACAGGAGCCTATAGAGAGTTGCTGAACATTACAGTGTATTTAGGAAAGTATGCAACTCTCAGTGGTGTGTTTGGAGCCAGTTGGTGATGCCTAGCGGAAGCTAGTTGGCAAAATTTTAAGAATTTTTTGAGCCAGTTATTAAAGCTTTGGTATATCTTGAAATGGGCAATGGTGGAAGTATTTGTAACATGGAAATTGACAAATGGTGCAAACTAGGGCTTTCTTTAGCCAATGAACCAGTTGTTAGCCATTTAATAGCACACCACTGAATGTATGGGACAGTTAGGCTTTTACATCAAAGGATATTATCGAAATGGAAGGCCAGGGCCCAACTGCAGGTCTGGACAGGAGGAAGTGGGTTATATCTTTCTTTCCAACCCTGACAACTGTTTGGCTATGACAGCTGCAGGACACAAGGCTCAGTCTCTTCCCCAAGGTGCCTCAGCAATCAGCTCTAAGGGCCAGACCTAGGTAGACATATGTAACTTGAAGTCCCAGCTCCCAGCTCCAGCAGAGTCTAAAGCCCTCAGTGTGTGTGCAGTGGGGGAGAGGTCTGGAAGAATACCAGGAGCTACTTGCCCTGCTCCTTCATCACCAAGTTAGGAATTCAAGGGAAGATTTGCAGTATATGTGCTTCAGGAGAAGGGAACTGGATTGTCATGGGCCTCCCTTAGGGTTTATGGTGAGATCTGAATTTGACCTTATTAAATTAGAGCCTCTATTTTTCCCTCTTGAAAAAGAAGCCACCTCTGTCACACATCCTGGTGCCAAGGTCAAGTCCTGCAGAGTCTGCCTCCATCTCAGCCCTCAGAGTGGTTTTTTGGGGAACACAAATGTTGACACATGAACTCTAAGGCTAGGTGCAGGTGATCCAGGCAGGGCTGGATATTTAGGAGGAGCATCAGGGCACTGTCCCAGCCCCTCCTGCCTGGGGATTATCCTTCTCTTCCTCAGCCACAAGCTTTGAGTGCACAGAGGCTCCTGCTTAGACCTTCTGTGCACCTCCTGTCTGAATCTGATCTCCAGGTTTTCTGGACACTGAGAAAACAAAGAAAAAATGAGCATATGTAGACCCAGCTATATACATTAGATCCCTTTGGCCTGGCTAAAATTAGAATTGTTCTCTTATAGGGAATAAGGCTTTCAGGATTTATGAGGCAATCAATCAATAGCTTCTTACTACTTGCTTTGTGCAAGGACCTGTGGGGAATACGAAAGGCAATAAGATGATCTGAGCCATCAAGTAACTCAAATCATGTGGGGACCATCTCCAGCCGTGAGGCAAGTTCAATGATAAGGCAAGACAACAGCAATGTGATTGATTGGCATAGGAATGTTATGTGTTCAGAGTTAGAGGTCTCTATAAGATGAAGAGGACTGGGAAGGTTGCTGGAGAGCTAATCAAGAAGGAGCTGCCCAGGGAAGGAGAAGGGATAGTGACTGGACAAAGACATCAGTCTCTTCTGTTGCTATGGAACGAATTATCAAAAATGTGGTGGCTTAAATTATACCTTTTTTTTTTTTTTTTTTATCTCACCATTTCTGTAGTTCAGAAGTCTGTGCACAGCACAGCGAGGTGCTCTGCTCAGGGTCTCACAAGGCTGACATCAAGGTGGAGGCTGGGTTGTGTTGTCATCTGGAGCTTGGGGCTCCCTTCCAAGCTCTTTCAGGTTGTCCATAGAATTCAGCTTCCTTGCAGTTGTAGCTCCGAGGTCCTCACTTTCTTCATGGTTGTCAACCAAGAGCTGTTCTCAGCTTCTGTAAACCTTTTGCTATTCCCTGCCAAATGACCTTTTCCAAAACATGAATTTGCAGCCAGCAAGGAATTTCACTTTTTTTTTATTATTATTATTTCTCTGAATTAAGGAAGGGCCCAGTCCTTTTTAAGGACCTACCTAATTAGGTCAGGCCCACTGAGGATAATCTCCCTTTTGATTCCTTCAGTCTCTTGATTAGTAATCTAATCACAGGATCTACATTATACATATTCACATGTGTGGTCTACATTCAATGGGAGAAGATTCTACAGGGATAGCATAATGGGTTAACTTACAGGATCTTTGACCTTCTGTCTAAATGTTCTTCTATCTTACCTCATGGTCCCTCTTACCCCTCTCATTTCCCTGCCCGGTCTATGTTGAATTACCCCTTCTTTATAGCCACCATTATCCTCAAAGTGTCACCCAGCTTGTGTCTTTCATGATCCTCTTCATTGTATACTAATATTTTTTTGGTCCATCCATTCCACTCAATTCCAAGTTCCATAACGACAGGGACAATGTCCCATTTGAATAGCCCTATATTTCCAACAAAGGGCCTGGCACATGGTAGGGACTCAGTAAACTTTGAATGAAAGGTTAAATGAATGAGTGAGGAAATTATATGGCAGGGCCAAGAGAGAGTCGAAAGGCCTGGATATTAGGTGTAGACGCTTTGAAGAAAGGCAGGGAGAGGAACCAGATTAGGAATGTGGGGAGACAGGCAAATCTATTTTAGATAACTTGAGTTTGAGATGACTATGAAACAAATGTCCAAGTAATAAGTCCAACAAGCAGCTGGAAATGTGTGTGAGGAGTTTCCATAGAAAAGACAACAATGCCCAACAAAACAGATACCTGTGCTTTGACCATGTAAAAGTATGAGCTATAGACTGAAGATCTGTGCCCCCCTCCCCCAAATTTATGCACTGAAATCCTAACCCTGAAAGTGATAGTATTAGCAGGTGGGAGCTTTGAGTAGTGATTAGGTCATGAAGGTAGAAACTTCGCGAATAATATTAGTGTTCTTATAAAAGAGACCCCATCAAGCTTCCTCTCCCTGTCCACCATGTGAGGACACAGTGAGGATACAGCTGTCCATGAACCAGGAAATGGATCCTCAGCAGACACTGAGTCTTCCAGTGCCTTCATCTTGGATGTCCCAGCCTTCTGAACTGGGAAAAATCAATGTGCTGTTTAAGCCACCCAGTCTATAGTATTTCTGAGATAGCAGCCCAAACAGACCAAGTCAGCATGCAAACTGGCTTTTACGTCATTGGATAGTACTCATCTCTGATTTCATTATCTCTGTTATTTGGAACAGTTGCCACTGTGAGAGTTAGAATTTGTATTAGGATGCAAGCAGGGATAAACGTCCACCTTGGACACAGTTCTGTCATTATCTGAAGAACCGTGGGAGAAGCGAGCACACCAGCACGCAGAGTCCAGGGTTCTGGGCGGTGAATACGGGATATGCTGGGCCATCCATCAGGACTGATAAAGAAGCTCTCAGCAACCCAGTGCTGCTACGCTAACTTTCTTTTTCCCTTTCTTGATCACCTCAATGAGTTCTTCGTCAATCTAATCTCAGCCCCTCTACTATTTTCACCTTTCCCCCATCAAAATTATTTTTCTCTCGCCACATTCATCAACCTGATTATTTTTCTAGAACCCCCTTCAACGTGTCTTCCCTGTCCTTTCTCACCATGTTATCTTCTCTCCCCTTCCTCTTACAGGTACACTGCAGTGGTCATGCCAGTTCACTACCAACATGGCACGGGACAGAGCTCCTGTCGGCGTGTGGCCCTCATGATCACAGCTGTCTGGGTACTGGCCTTTGCTGTGTCTTGCCCTCTCCTCTTTGGCTTTAACACCACAGGTAACAACAATAGCCCCACTTTCAAAACCTATGTGACTCCCAGCACACATGAGCAGCTCAGCTCTGAAATTTCTGACCCCTGGTCAGTACACTTTGTAATCAAATGAAGATGCTATAGACTACAAAGCTTTGCAAACTTTATCAATTATTGGCCCAGGGATCAAGTTCTGTCCCAATTAATGGAAAAATCTGGCTCATTCCTATTTTGAAAGAAATGTCACTGTATTCATTTGAAGAAATGCACCAGTTAAAAAAACTAAACCATATTAATAATTTAGGTGAGGTTTGCTAATGAAAAGATTACAATTCATAACTGCTCACAGTGAAAAGTAACATATCATAAAGCCCTTGAGTAGGAACAAGAATCATTTCCAGCATTTGGGAGCTAGCTTAGATTCCTAAGTTATTGGTGGGTCTGTTTCTTATATTTTAATATACAAAAATTCTGGCCATGATGGTTGGCATATGGTACATCTTCTATTGGATGGATGGATGGATGGATGGATAGATGGATGGACAATTGGAATGTCTTAGATATTTGAAATTTTAGACATAAGACACCAAATTTACACCCCTTACAGATCAAGGCCCTCTGGGTCTGTTCCATGTCCATCTTTTGGCCTCAGAAATTTCATGCATTGAATGAAAACTATTCCACATATAGAAAAGTTACTGGTATTGGCAATAAAGGCTGAGACTTTGTTAAAAGAGAACTGATTGACTCTTTTTCCAGTGTTAATTTGGATTTCTTATTTTGTCCATTTGAATTGGTTTACTCAATTTCTGTTATGTTCCAGCTTCATTGATTTTTAGTATATATGTACAAGTCACATAGCTAGCAGTGTGTTTATGTGTATGCAGACATTGTATGTAACCCATTACCTATAAATACAGGCAAATTCCAACTTATAAATAGTCTTCAAAGAGTCGTTTGCTGGACAACTTAGAAGTCAAAATACATTTAGGAGAATAGACAAAGGCTCTGGAGATAGAACAACCTAGATTCAAATTCCAATTCTACAACTTACCAGCTGTGTATCCTTGAATAAGTTACTTAACTTTTCTGAGTTAAGTTTCCTTATTGAGCAGTTTGGGGTAAAAATATAATGGACCATAAACTTCAGAAATTCAAATATGAAGATTCAGTCTAAATATTCAGTTAGGAAGTTTTCAATGTTTGTTTTTATATATGACTTCCTGCAAATAAGCCCAGAAACTTCATCTCTAAAATTACACGTTGCATTTGAACTCTTCATAATGTTTGACATATTACTGTATGTATCATTCATCTTTACTTATTGCTGTTCAGAGCTGTCATCAAATATGTATATCTTTACATGTGATTCAGGGGATTTTTCAAAGCAAACTTCAACTCTATAATTTTTACTTTACTCATTCATTGACTTTAGAATCTAACCCTACATATGATATAATTCTACTTTTCCTCCTTCATAGACTTTTTTTTTTACAATTAAATGAGGATTAAATTGGGTCAACATACATAGACATGACAGTACATACCAATTGTTCAAACTCAGGCGTGTATCTCTGCCACATTAAAGGTTAAGTAGACAAGTTATCCAACAAATACATGCCTGGTTAACTCAGGGTGTTCCTAAAATATAAAGTTATTATCATCTTTGAATTACTCTTTACCATGAGTTACTGTTATTTTCACTGATTGACACTTTAGATACACATGTGTGTATGTACACACACACACACACACACACACACACACACCCCTGCCGAAGTAACATTCCCCAACACAACTATAGAGACTGACTGGCACTAAAGAACCAGTTTTGATGAGTGTTAAGTATGCTTTTTGGGTAAATCTGATAACTAAGCCACCTTTTATATCTTTGTTTCTACATGAAAACGCTTTCATTGGTATTTGTAGTATGGGGCACTTGCTACCACTGCTAGACCAAGGCATTGCGTAAACCCCTGGTCCCCGCCACCAGCAAATCCCCACCACGTTTGCAGGACCGGATGGTTCCTCTTACTTATTCTTGGAGGCTGGCAGAAGGGTCCTACTCACTCTCACACACACAGAGACACACACACCCTGGTAAGAGTGAAAACAGTCTCAAACTCTGACATTAGAGGTCCCGGTTAATGTCAACATCTCAAAGTGAAGAAGAATGATGAGCTAATGGCAGTGTTGTTGCCATCAGTGAGATCATTATTGTTCCAGAAACAAAACTCAGAAAAATCTTTCCAAAAGGATTTTCAAATATAGAATTGAGAAAGAAGGCCATGACTTAGAGTGTATACTCTGTCTTCTCTTGCCATCTCTCTCTTTAACTTGACTAATGAGACTGCTGTAAGCCCTCTGCTTATTTGTACATTGTGTCAAAGTGTCAAGTCCATCAGAAGAGCCCAGGAGACATTAGCTGATGGTGGTAGTGTTGTCGCCGTTATTATGAGTTAGAAGAAGTTTCTGTGCCTTAAAATATAACTATGCACCTCCTCCAAGGAAAAATCTAAACAGCTGTAGTTCTGCTGGTGGTCATAGAGGAGACAAATTGTCTTGTCTGAGAACTCATTTTGGGGATTAGTGAGCAGAACTCAAGGCAGAGAGGCCCAGCATCCTTCTCTGCCTCTGTCTGACCTTCCCAGTACAGAGTCATTATCTTGATAAATGTAGGTTCCTCTAGCACCTCTTCCATCTAGAAGGAAGTTTTCAAGTCCATTCAAAAGCCCAATTATAAATGACTTCTCTCAGCCATGTTTTTCCACTCTTTCTGTGAAAAGCAAAGGAGAAAAGGGCAGGACACTGCCAATAACACCTGATCCTGGAAGTAAATAAACTTTTACTGATGAGTACAACACAAAAGAACATTCTGATTCTTCTTTTTTATGAAATGGACTGCCACATGGGACTGTGACTTGTCAGAGAACATAAGGTAGTGAAAAGTTGAGCCTCCGTTTCTTTCAACTTGGAGTTGCTCTTATTGACGGAAAAAAGGTCAACGTGCATTTCTGGGTGCACACCTAAGGCAGGGTCTTGGGTCACAGAGAGTTTCAAGGCTGTGGAGCCTGGCTTCCCGGTGTTGCCCCAGCTACCAGCAGAGGCCCAGAAGTCGAGCCAAATACCACACAATCAACATCCCCCAACAGCAGTGGAGTATGGAGTGTTGGTGCTAGAGAAAACCCCAAAGATCCCTGAATGAGCAGCCCACTCCTTTCATTTCACAGATAAGAAAAATGACTAGTATTTAAATGTTTGCTAAATGAGATAACTATTGTGTTATTTTAAAAATTCTAGAGTGGATAAGCAGTAGCTGGTGATGAGGGTGTAAGAAATCTTTGAGGAAAAACTTAAAGCTAAGAAAATCCCGTCAGCTGGCTTAACTTTCCTTCAAAACCGAGAAATAAAGGGACATTTTTCATTTGATTGTAGAAATAAAACACCTCACCTGGCTCCCAGAACACTGGAGCTGGGGGCAGCCTGGTTGAGAAGCACAAAGTTATAAGAATAGCAGGCTCGTTCTAAAATCAGATTCATCAGGATCTCCTGTCTTTGCAAACACGTTGAGGACAAATCCTTCACTGAGCTGGAAGTCCCTTACCTCTCAAGTCAACCGCTCTGGCCTTGCTGTTGACTTCGGTGTGGGACCAAGTTGCCAGGCTAGCCCACAGAAGCCTCTTAGATTCCTTAGCAGAGCTATTCAGTGTTTTTATTGCCCCTCACAGTGCCTTGAATACAATAGATGCTTCATAAAATTGTGCTGAATGATGGTTTAGTCCTCCTCCTCCTCATTTCCTCCTTAAATGTTGAGATTAGTTGGGATAAACATCTCAGTCTCAGAGAAGGAGGAGTAGCCCCCTGGCCTGCCCCAATATTCTCTAGTCAGTGACTGTTCATGTGTTTATGTAAAATGCTCATTGGTCTACTTTGCTTATTATTCACCATTCATTTATTCTTTCAATAACTGTTGTATTGACAGCACAGTACTGTTTTAGTTAAGTAATTAAGACAAGGTACCTCATCTTCTGCGGAAGCCTCAGCTCCCATGGGGGCCTCACTCTGCCCTGCTAACAGGACATACACCCAAGTCAGACCTGGTGAGGACTGGAGCAGGGCCCACTCACTGGCCACTTGACCCCTGTCACTCTGCCTGCTGACATCTTCACAGGAGTCTGGGAGAGGCTGCAGAACGTGGTCTAAGGACAGGCAGCAGTTACTTAGGGGAGGAAAGACAGGATGATGATGTAGGTTCCGTGATTGTATATAAGGGGCTTCATTGATCAGTGATCCTGAAATCACTACATGCTCTCTCTTCATGCTCTGCTTCTCATACATAAGCTTTCAATATTTTACTGGGAAAATAAATATCTTCACATGATAAAACATAAGGTGTGATGAGATACATATATGTACTCACATGTAGCTCTCCCTTCTACCCTAGATTGCTGATTCCTCCATCCCCCTCCCTAGAAGCAAACACTAATATTCTTCAAGAATAATACTTGAAACAAGTACATACACTCGGGCATGCATGCACACACACACGTGTGTGTGTGTCCATTTTACACAAATAAAAGCACACTGTACCCACTTTTGCTCCTGGCTTTTGAAAAGTAGTAGTTAATATATAGAACTTAGAGTTCAGCCTCCCAGAACCCAGAAGAGGGTAGAGAAGGGAAGAAGGTATATCTAGAGGGACAAATGGGAACCATCTGGGTCACCACCAATGGAACAAGATGAACAGCAGGCACGTAGCTCTGTCACCCCTCTGGCCCACTTCTCACCGGCAAAGTGTGCTGAGGAGCCTGTCATTTTAGGAGGCATTTACATCATGGTCAGACGCTGGTGGCAGGGGGGGGCTGACTTCAGGGGAGGCGCTGACGATGGCTAACATGGCTTCTGACAGATTCAGAAAGACCACCTACAGCCGTGCTATTCCTGCCTCTAACCCTGTCCCCCTCAGGGACTAGATGATGCCAATTTGTGGCCACTGCTCAAAGCTTTATGAGCCATTTCCTAAAGAATGCTGACACCAGCTTTGGTAGGATGGTATTAATTTGACCTGCACTTGACCCCTCCTCGAGGGAACCAGAGAAGGTGGGAGGAGCTCATAAAGGTTCTGGCAGCCCTGCTGGCATTAAAATCCTCACTGAGCTCTGAGCACACTCTTTGTCCTTGTTTTCATCCTTAACTGTTCCTCCCTGCCTTCTCCCACAAATATTGCTCCCTGTAAGTCTCTCCCCAAATTTCCATTCCAAATGATACCATCCCTTTTCAGTGTAAAAAGCTCAGAGGAGGTAAAAATGAAATAATAAGAGTAAAGAATGATAATAGCTGCCATTTAACCTCGTTTCCACTATATGACACAATATTTTTATCTTTCTTTTATAGATAATGAAGCGGAGGCTTGGTGTAGTTAGGTAATTTGCCCAAGATCACACAGATAATAAATGGCAAACCTGGTCTCACACCTCAGGCTGCCTGGCCTCTGCTACCCCAGAGACCAACAAGCAGAGTGAGGGGGCCGTGTGGCCATAGCCCTCTCCCTACCAACTCACACCTGAGCCTATATCTTCTGAGACCAGATTTTGGGTTGGAAAACTCCCAACTCCTTATGAAAGTTGGCCCGGTGTACCAACAGCTGTTGCTGACAATACTGAACAAAGTGTCGGTGTGCCACGTCCTGCAGGTAGAGGGGGTGGTGTGTCAAAATCACAGAAAGAACATTGGTTTTGGGGTCCAAGTGGCTGGAGGAACATATCTGGTCTCCATCCCATTCAGGCTGTGCAATGTTGGGCCACTTACTAAACCTCTCTGAGCCTCACTTAGTCTGCTCATCTGAGAATAGAGTCAGTAATTGTACCTGTGTCACATAATGCTGTCATAACGATTAGGTAAGGTAATGTGCTTAAAGCCCTTGGCATATCACCTGGAAGATATTAGTTTGTTTCCTGTTTCCCTTTCAAGAAGGGCACATTTCAGGTCCTCTCCCGAGCATTAGAGGAATCACAACATCTGCCAGTGACCAGGCAAAGCTACAAGGCCCTCCTAAGGAGGCGTGGCAGGAGCATTCAGGACACAGAGCAGGGACGAGGACCCTCCTCAATTCGCATTTCCACAATGACTCTATCCTTACTGGCCCTCTTCCCATCTCACCCCTGACCATGGCTGGAACTCCTTGAAAAACCAAATGCCTGTCTCATATGCAGCCACGACCTGCCCCATATTCCAGATTCAAAATGGAGATGTGGCATTCTTAGCGAAGAAGGCTTCCTCCATTCAGTGCACCCAACAATCCTTCCAGGCCTCCACTCGGCAGGCCCCTTCCTGGGGCTGCATCCCTCCCACGAGCCCCTGGGCTCTTGCTCAGTGCCACTGGACCCGGACTCCCGGGCGGAATTCCTCTGCGGCACTTAGCACAGCATATGGAAGGGATCATCTGTCTGTCTAGACTGTGAGCTTTTTCAAGGCAGACGGTGTCGTGCCTCTTCGCAGCCCCAGTGTAGAGCAGTGTCTGGCATGTAATCATCGGTACATTTTCTTTTTAAGTGAACTGTGAGCAACACGAAGCTGAATGAGACCTCCTACCCTCAGCGAGCTGACATCACAGGTGTCTGAGATGGCATTGCCCACCCTCACGACTTAACAATCAGGACCCGGGTGCTAACTACACAACAGAGGCAAAGGAAAGGGCTGCGGGCCACAGAGGAATAAAGAGTTGCCGTGAATGAGAAACTCAAGCAAGCCTCCACGGATGGAGGCAGCATGTGAACTGGGGCATGATGAGGGTGTAGGTGGGACCAGGAATCCTTGCTTCTCGAAGCTCCATGTGGATTAGACGGTGCAGACACCACATGTGCTCCCCACTGAGGTCTCATATTTGGCAAACTGTTTTTGCTTTCTCCTTTTCTCTCACTCACAGGAGACCCCAGGGTCTGCTCCATCTCCAACCCTGATTTTGTGATCTACTCTTCAGTGGTGTCCTTCTACCTGCCCTTCGGAGTGACTGTCCTCGTCTATGCCAGGATCTATGTGGTACTGAGACAGAGGAGACAAAAACGGATTCTCACTCGACAGAACAGCCAGTGCATCAGTGTCAGGCCCAGCTTCCCTCAACAAGTAAGCACCCGGGAGGGGCAGAGGGAAGACAGCACCCCAGCCTTGTGTCCGGCAGTGCATGTTTTTACCTGAACTGCCACATCGGAGGCACACATCTGCCCCCACCTTCTAGTCTGCTGGTATTGGCTCTACTTCAGAGGTAGCAAATCCAATCCAAAAAGTTCTAGGGACACATCTTATTTGGCAAGATGATAAGATAGTTACTGGGCGTGTTCTGCTTCCCTTCAAAGTCTTTCATTGTCCCCAAATGGCCACAAGTTCAAATGTCCTACAGGGTTTAAAGTTTTAGTGTGACAGGTTCCCAAGACTGACTTTTTGGCCAGATCACTTATTCCAAAAATCACTGGGGTCCATCTAAATCTCTTGTCCTTACTAGATCAGTCCCTATATCAAGGCATTGATGAGCTGGTGAAACAGAATGCTGATGAGGTATTTTTGGGTCTTGTTAGGCTGTGAAAAGAAAGGTTATTGCCTCAACAGTGATGTTCCAATTTCTTGGGTTTTAAATTCTGCTTATCCCAGTGCCCATTGTCCTAGTAATTTACCCATGATGTACTTGAAGCATGGATGGATAAATACCAATCACTTGCAATCTTTTAGGGATGGAATGGCAAGAATATTATTCAGCCTCTACCTTCATGGAGCTTGGACTCTAAACAAGCAAATAATGCACACTCCCCAACTGAATGGGATGTTTGTGAAATGTGAGATGAAGACAGTTGAGCACCCAAATATCTTTGAGGTAATGAGAAGAGAGAGTTCAATATGCTCAGGAAAGGGGTTGAGAGACAAAGTAAGAACTGCATTTGATCTTTGAATGTCTAGATCAATCTGAGTGAGTGCAAACTCTCCAAGTTGAAGTCCTGAGGCTTGGGTAGAACAAGAATATTGGTCCTCCTGAAATAGGAGGTCAGCACTGGAGGATGAGAATACAAACATAGTGTATTTAAAGCATTGTCATCTGTATGGCTCAACTCTGTAGAGCTTAACCCACAACTATTTCTCCTTCAATTCACCCTAGTCTTCCTGTCTTCGGCTGTACCCCATTCGGCAATTTTCACTAAGGGCCAGATTTCCATCAGATGCCACAGGGAAAATGGTAAGCAAACATGTCTTTAATTATAGGAAAAGAATAAGAGACCTTTTCTCAAAGATGCTGGCTGGACTTGATTCCATTTCCATCCCCAAATAGGATCTAGCCCCAATCCCACACATGTATCTACAATATAGAACAGATCTGAGATCCTGCTTGATTTGAGCTTCAGAATAGAAATCACCAAATGATATTCAAAACACATATGACTATTGGGAAAGATCCCAATGACTGGAGCCAAAGACTCTTGGATGTGGTATGAGGATGCCATGCAGAGCCACCTGCATTAGAGGGAACTGAGCATCAATAAAACACACATGAGCAGAGCCAAGGAAAGCAGAGAAGGGGAGGCTAATGTGAGACCTTGAGTGCCCTGTTTGCCATTTAATATGGGTGAAAGCAAGACAATGTCACTGTCATCCTGACCTTTATCCTTCCAATTCAAGCCAGCCCTGCCTCCCTAAGCAAGCCAAGTGCCAAATGGATCCTGAAAGTGTTAAATATAAGACCAGTAGTCCTCTCCCAAAACTCCACAGCCAATTAAATATTGGGAATAAAGTTTCAAAAACCCATAATGAGAAAGGTCTGAGCCTTGTCAACCTTTGTATAGTTAATTAATGATCTTTTACACAAGCCGGTGTAGCAGAGACTCTTGCTATAAATGAGTAAAAATATATATATGTTTGTTTTATATATATATATATACACACACACATATATATACATATACACATATACATATACACACACACACACACACATACAGGTTGTCCTCAAAAAATGTATACAGTGTGTCTGTAGATTCTATTATGTTTTGAAAATGAAATGTATTTTAGTAAACACTAGCTTTATAATTATTCCAAGCTGTGTATACATATTCGGTGGGGGGAGGGGGACACACTATATACATAGATAAGAGGTTTAAGGTTGCCTATAGCAGATCCAAAGTCAGAGGAGGTGCCAAGGCTATAAGGAGAAAAAGTGGATATTAGAGTATCCACTTGGTTGCTCAGTTGTAAGATGTGAGGTGAAGACAACTGAGTACCCAAATATTAAATGCCTTTGAGGTTATGAGAAGAGGAAGATCAATATGCTCAGGTGACTTGGTTGTTTACACCACTAGAGAACCAGGAGTCTGGCATGGCCAGGAATGTGGAGAAACGGGTCCTGTCCTGCCACCTGAGAACAGACGCTCTGCCAGCCAGACCCGAAGAAATCCAGTGCATCCTTATGTTTGTCTTGGAGGTAGTGATTAGAGCTTGCAGAGCTGAAGAATACACTCACCAATATATAATCTTAAAGGAATCAGGTTCCTTCTATAGGACTGAATTTCCATATTTGTAAAATGGAGACAAGGTACGCTAGGTCAGAGTTCTCAAATTTGAGATTTCCTAAGCGTTCCCAAGAATGTGTCCCCAGCCCCCTAGATTCAGAAATAAAGCTTTAGAAGTTAAATATTGTCACTTTTAAAAAATCACTAGATGCCAGCACAATCATAAACATAATCATGCTCATTCAGATAAAACATAATATGCTTACATTAATTAGTAGAAAAAAACATAAAAATGAAATTTAAAAAATTTTAAATGTGTTATGCTAGAATCCCTATGGATGCCTCTGTGGAACACAGTTTTAAAATATTATATCATCTTGAAGGTCCCTTGCACTGATTCATCCAACAGCGTTTCTGAGTGTATGCAGTGCACCAGCACTGTATGTCTGGAGGATTGTGATTCCTTGACCTAAGGAGAGAGAGTGAGGGTTCCTGGTTGCTGACACTAACTTATGTAGAAAAAGGAATTTACTGGAAGGGTATCAAGTAGCTCAGACTCAGTGAGAAGGCTGAAGAACAGCTTTAGAAGATGCTGTTCACACCTAAGGAAGAATCTGGTTAGAAAACCTAGGACACTGGACATTGATGCCACCGCTGCTAGAGAATTGTGAAGTCTCCCTGCTTTACAAGCTCCAACTCAAGGTCTTCGGTGGGAATCTCCAACTGGCTGGGCGTGGCTCACGTTCCAGAGTTCCAGCTGCCAGGTGGGGAGGTTGGGGAGAGTGAGTGTCTGGCTGATGTCTTCAGTTGTGGGAGTAGAAGAGTTCCGCCTGCTACTGTGATGAACAGTGTCTGATTCTTCAAACATGGAAAGCTCAGATGTTGAGCACACACACATCCCCTCCAAATACCAGAAATATCCACATATTTTCAGTGTTCCACTCTGAGTCTACTCATTCAAAAGCCATTTTCTCCCAATTTCTTTTTTGTTTTACAATGAGGCTTAGAGACATTTAATTAACTTGCCCAAAGATACATCTACTAAGGAGAAAAGCTGAGATAAAAATCCTGGGTTTTCCTTTATTCTTTTAACTTTTTATTGGGAAAAACTTCAAAAAGAAAAAAGAAAAAAATAAACATAACCAATCCTTCATTAGCTATCATTCAGTTTCAATAATGATCAACTCATGGCCAATAGTATTTCATCTATACCCGCACCTACATTCACATATACCCACTGGATCATTATGAAGCAAATCCCAAATGTTATAGCATTTCAACCAAAAATATTTCCGTAAGACTCTCTAAAGAATATGAACTCTTTTATAAAATACATATTCACAATACCACATCAAGCTAAAGAAATTAATATCCCCATTTCCTTAATATTAAATACTCAACATGCACATTTTCTCAATTGTCTCCTACATTTTCTACAGTTGGTTTATTTGATTCAAAATTAAAATAAGACCCATATTTTGCAACTGGTAAGTGTTGTTGTCTCTGCAACTTATGTGTTGGAGGAACTGAGTGGTTTGTCCTAAGGTGTTTGCTGCTTACATCCCAGTGGTGTTGCTTCACATGTTCCTCTGTATATCGAAGCCATTCTAACTTTAAGAGCCAGGATAGAATCCTGTGCCTGCCTCCTCTCCGGGGATTATTGTGATTCTCAAACATTGCACATGTAGTACGTTCTTTCTAGTGTAACGTCAAAGCAGATTTCACTTACCTTCACTTCCCGTGGTCCCACTGCCCTCAGATCCGCCCTCTACAGGTTTTACACCAGGTTGGATCCCCTGTCTTTGCTGCTTTCCCTTTTCCTTTCAGGAGCACTCAGGAGATAAACAATAGCCCCAGAAATGTCAGGACCCTCTCTTGTCACACCTGCAGCCCCTCTCCCCTGGCCGGGCACACATGGAGCTGAGGCGTTACTATAGCATCTGCCAAGATACTGCCTTTGGGCCGCCGGGCTTCCAAGAGGAAGGAGAGCTGAAAAAGGAAGGGAGCACGCAGCACTCCCTCAGCCCCGCCATGGGACCCAAGCTCAGCTTAGAGGTTCGAAAACTCAGTAACGGCAGGTTGTCGACATCCCTGAAGCTGGGGCCCTTGCCACCTCGGGGAGTGCCACTTCGGGAGAAGAAGGCAACGCAGATGCTGGCCATTGTGCTTGGTGAGTTCGGATCAGGTTGAACTGAGTCGGGTTAGATTGAGTTGGGTTAGATTGAGCTCAGTGCAGCTGGCAGAGGGTTGAGGAAACCATATTTGACAGAAATTGGAAATCCAATGACTTTAATATTTATAAATGTGTATAATGCAACTGAAAAGGGTTTGTGTATGAATGTTAACTGGTGCAAACCACAAGACCTAAACCGAAACTTATGCAATATGAAACTCAGCACATCACCTGATTGAGATGTGTTTATCCCTTGTATTTTGTTGCCTATCACATGGTCTTATAATAATGGATAAAGCAAATAGTAAGTAAGATGATGATTAAGTAAAATGTATGGCACATACCAGATATTTAATCAATGGCTACTCTAAAATATTAAGTAAAAGAAGGGAGTGGATGCATAAAACTACAGTCATGTGGTATGATAACATCTAGATTATTTTAAATACAGAGGGGAAAGAAAAAAAACCCTGAAAATTAATTCACCATGATGTCAAAAGTGATTGACTTTGAGTGATGGGTGGTTATTTTTCTTCTTTCTGTTTTTCTGCATTTACCAAGTTTTCTATGATGTTTAAAATCAGAGCTAATTTTTATAGTGGAAAAATATAACTTATTAAATATATATTAATTTATTTAAATTAAAATTTTGATAAGTCAGAGGCACCATATAGAGTTAGTGAAGGAAATTCATCCTCTTTATTATCACCTTACATTTTCATACCTCGGGGACTTTATGGGACCCCCTAGATGTAATCCCCTCAAAAGCAGGAATTGTGTCAATTGAATCTTTAGGGCCTTCTTTTCTGTCAGTGCCTAAGATCATGTCTTGATGGCTAGACATTAAATAAATAATTGTTTTAAATTGAGAAGTAGAGAAAAAACTAGTAAAGCACTATCTAAAGATCAAACTAGAAAATTGATGTAGAAACAAAGGCCTAAGATGAATCAAAGGCATTTTGATGTTCTCTTATCAAAAAAAAAAAAAAAGAAAGAAAAAGAAAATAGTGGCTAATCACACCTACTTACCTACTTCATAGGGTTGGTTTAAAAATTAAATGGGTATGTAAAACTTCCGGCATAGTAGCAAGTATGAGGAAACAAGCATGAGTCATTTTCACGTTATAACAAACGAGTAAACGAGCCTCTTCCTTTGCTCCCTAGGGACCTTCATTGTCTGTTGGCTGCCCTTCTTTTTGACCCACGTTCTCAATACCCACTGCCCAGCATGCCACGTGTCTCCAAAGCTTTACAGAGCCACTACGTGGCTGGGTTACGTAAACAGCGCCCTCAACCCTGTGATCTATACCACCTTCAACATTGAGTTCCGCAAAGCCTTCCTCAAGATCCTGTCTTGTTGAAGGAGAGGAGAGAACACTTCCTGTGTCCACCCTCACCTGCCATGCGTTGGGCCACTGGCCAGGGCCTGCTCATAAAGACTGCGCCACGACCTCTGGCGTGTGGTAGGAAGAAGATCGCTGGAGCCAGGATGTCTCTGAGTGGCAGGTGTAACCAACTGCTTCCTCCAAAACAGAATGTTCCACCTCCCCAGCTAAAATCTGACTTCATCTTGGCAATCTTTAAATGGTTTGGAGGGCCCCTGAGTGATAAGCAATAATTCCTAAAGAAGCTGACAAAACATGATTCTACACATATACAAAATCATTATCGGAGGCATGATTCATTACACTGAAGGAAAAATGAACAGATATCATTCTCCACTTTCCAGGAGTCCTTGAAATCTCAGCCAGTAGGCCATCTTGCAAAAACAGATAGTTTCTCTTCCTTCAAACCTCTAATTAACTGTCAGGCTAAGCTTGTACTTATGTGGGCCTACTCATTTTTGGTTATTCCTTTCATTTATTGTATCAGAAAATATAATGGCAAGGCCAATGCTGCTACCTCTTCGTGGAATCTGATTGGCTACATTTGGTGAGGGACATCACTCACCCTGAAGAAGAGACATTGTCCCACATTGGGACCTAGGCTTCATTTCAAACCTCGCTACCCCTTGTATTATAGCTCTAGCTCAGAAGGCCCTTTGAGTTCATCCCCTTATACACAGTCTCCACTCGAGAGTAATTCAAGATGGGGGTGTTCAGTGAAGAAGGAATGACAATTCCCACTATAGTATCACTTTTCTAAAAAAATTTTTTCTTTATTGATATTAGAGAGAGAGAGAGAGAGAGGGAGGGAGAGGGAGAGAGAGATAGAAACATCGATGAGAGAGAACATCAATTGGCCTTCTCCTACATGCCCCACAATGGGTATTAAGCCCACAACCTGGGCATGTGCCCTGACCGGGAATCAAACCGGCGGCCTCTTGGTGCATGGGTCGATGCTCAACCACTGAGCCACATCAGCCAGGCTATAATGTCACTCCTGAACCTTGTGGTTTAGAATATGCCTTAGATATGCTTTTCATAATTCTATAAGGTTTTCCTACCCAGACATCTCCATCTCCTGTTTAACAGAGAGCCAATACTTTCAGACCCTAAAACTCATTAAGTGTCTGCAAAGTGCCTGTCACCTCCCAGGTTCCAGATACATGACAATGAATAAGGCAGATCCTGCCCTCAAGGAGCTCACTACCTGCTCCTATGTTTGCTCATTTACTTGTTGAAGGGTGGTAAGGGACTCACCTGGACTGCCAGAGGACCTCAGAACGGAGGGCACCAGGCAGGGTGGCTGTCCAAAGCCATCAAATGGACAGTCTTTGGATAGTCCTATCACAGAGCCTAAACATCACCATTCCAACAACTGAGATTAAAGGTATATAAAAATAATGTGTAAATGTCATTAAAAATTGCATTTAGAAGGAGCTTAAATATTCTCATCACTTACCTTTTCACCTTCAGAAGCTATTTCTTATTGATTACAAGATTAATATACAATTTGTGAATAATTTATGAAATGTTATCATCCTGAACCTCAATAAATTGACTGTTAGCTATTAGTGCAAAGGCATGACATACCTACTGCAATGCTATTACACTTTGAGGTGCACAAGAAATTTACAAGGAATTCAAGGTGTCCTTTTTCCCACTCCTCTAGCTCTTAAGTGTACAGTTCATAAGAAGGAAATGCTTACCCTTGGTGAGTCAGTTACCTGTTACTCCTAAGTGCTTTTTTTAATACATGTTTTTATTGAATTTTTAGAGAGAGAGAAGAAGGGAGTGAGAGATAGAAACATCCATGTGAGAGGGAAATATCGATTGGCTGTTTCCTGCACATCTCCTGCTGGGGATGGAGCCCGCATCCCAAGCATGTGCCCTGACTGAGAATCAAACTGGGACCTCTTAATCCCTGGGATGATTAAGCCACACCAGCCAGGCCCTAAGTGCTTTTAATGCCAACATTTTAAAATGTTATTGTCTATAACAGTGTTTATATTGTAACTCAGTATTCTGTCTACTAGTTCTTGTACCTTGTGCCATTTAACTCAGTAGGTTTATGGTGAAAGCAGAACTGGGGACTGAGATTATTAAATATCTGAAGAAGTGTAAGTACATGATTTCTAAGTTTTTCCATGTAAAATCAACAGCAAACAGGTTGGACAGTGGGGTAAAGATCACAGAATTCCATGTCAAAATTAGAACTCTGGGATAGAAACAAAAACCGCATGAGTATTAATATATTTGTGAGGAATGATAACAAATATTTTGTATTCTCTCTTTACATCAAGTCATTTAACCCTAATGATAACCTTAGTAAGATAAACTCTATTTGTAGATGAAGAAACTGAGACAAAGGGAAGTTTAAAAATTTGCCCCAAGTCAAATATATTTCTATCCAATTCCCAAGCCCATGCAATTAACCACTTCCTCCCTCCAGAGAGTTAAAGGGGTGGGAAGAAACAGGTGGGAAGAATTTGTGGAATATAATGAACATAACAGTCTGAAGAACAGGTAGACCCAGAGACGTGGAAGTAGGGTACAGACTGACAACCCTCAAAAGAGGGGATGGGGGGAAGGAAGAGATAAACCACAGAACTTATATGCATGTACATATAACCAATAGACACGAACAACAAAGCTGGGGACAGGGTGGGGGGTATGGGAAGGAGGGTGTCAATGGGGAAAAAAGGAGAAACATCTGTAACAAAAATAAATTAATTTAAAAGTCAAGCAAAATGTCAATTATATTTTCTATAAAATATATACAGTGTGTGTATATATATTTGTATGAAAAATAATACAATAATTAATAATAGAAGAATAAAAAATCTATCAAAGAAAAAAATAAAATCTATAAAAGTAAAAATATGATGTGGGGGGGAAAAAAAGAAAGAAAAAGGTGGAACAAGATCCCTGGGAGAGCCCCACTTTATTCCACCCACCTCCCCCTCTAGCGCTCCTAAGAACTCACATCAAGACACTACTCTCCCCTCCTGCCAAGTTCAATTTCTGAAACAGTCAAATGGGAAATCCATAATCTATTTTTATAAAATCATGGGCCCTGGCCGGTTTGGCTCAGCGGTTAGAGTGTCGGCCTGCGGTCCGGAGAGACCCGGGTTCGGTTCCCGCTAAGGGCACGTACTTCGGTTGCAGTTTGTCCCCGGCCCTGGTTGGTCGTGCGGGTGGCAGCCACTCGATGTGTCCCTTCACGTCGATGTTTCTCTCTCTCTCCCTTCCTCCCTCTCCCTCCCACTCTATCTGTACAAAAAATGGAAAAATATCCTCGGGTGAGGATAAAAAAAAAATTAAAAAAATATAAAATCATGGGACAGTCCTAAGGGAGTATTTGGTTTTATCCTCTTCTTCATTTACAGAAAAGGAAACTGAGGGCTAAAACTGGTGTTTCGTGCTGGCTAACCACAGACAAACACTCAAATCTGCTGAATTCTAGTTCAGCGCTTCTCCTGAGAGCCTATAAAAACTATGAACTCCGTACAAATGGAAGGAGAAAGTCATATTGTCACCTCAAGCATAAACTGAGAAGTACTTTTTCCCTAGACAGTGTCAATTAGGAGACAACATTCCCTTCCCAGAATTTCCTTCTTGTCCAGGAAGAATCTCCCAGGGGAATTCACTTCAGCCAACTCATCCTAGGATTCTACATTCTGCCTCCTCTGTCTCTACAGTTTCTACATGATCCAGCAAACCCAACCTCAGGGCTCACTACTCACAGAGTCAACAAGGTCAAAAATTCCAGGAGAGATGTTGGCCTGAATGAAGCAGAGCAAAGTTCTTGGGGCAAACCAAGTCTGGGGCCCAGTGTAGCGTCATATCTACCTATACTATTTGAGTGAAATGCGAATAGTATGGAAATCCAAATAGATGACAAACAACTTTCAATTTGAGACTTTAAGGCAATATTTCCTTCTTCCAGGACACCATGCTCCAAAACTCCATTATTCATTTATTAAATCAATCACGTATTCAGTTAATGTTGACTGGTTGCCTTCTATGTGCCAGGCAAGTGCTTAGTGCTAGGAAACATGACTGAAGAAGACATAGTCCTTGACCCCATGGGGGAGATAGGATTCATGTGCATGGTGATGACATGTCAATAGTAAAGGGAATTCATGGTGTTTGGAAGTCGCATATTCAGCCTTGAGAAAGCTTCCCAGACAAGCCTTGTCAGGATTGAAACATCATTAAAGAGTAGTAGGGGTGTTCCAGGCATAGGAAACCTCTAAAGAGCTAATGATAAAACAAGCAAGGAGTATGCAAGGAGTCCCAAATAAGCCCATCAGGCCACAGAGAAGGGATCCTAGGGATAAGGTAGGAAAGGAATGGGCCTTATCTGTGGAGACTTCCTCCAGCTTTGCTCAGATTCCGACTGCGCTGGTGGTAATGCGTCTCACAGAAGACGTCTAGATCTCGCCTCCACTTCCCTCCACGTGGGCAGCACACATTATAGAACATCACTGACTTACTGAATTACTTCTTTCTGAGTACAGTGAATTTCAACAAATTCAAAATTCAATTTCAATTCTTCTTTTGCTACAAGATGGGGAATGGCTACTTGAATGAAGGTAGAATCATAGATGGTCAAAATTAAGACAGTTCCGAGAGTTTCGGTCTGAGATCAAGGGCAGTCAAGCAAAGAAATTTGTTTTCCTGAATGTGTGGGTCAGAACTAAGCAGAGAGGCAAAAAGGTTAAGGGATTCTCTCAGAACTGCCTATTTCCTGGAGGTCCTGACTTCCAGGCCTATGCTTTGGTTCTTTAGTTTCTGCTGACATCAGGAAACTGAGAAAGCTTAATTTGAATCAACACAGAGAGCAGAGAGGGGATGACAGGCAATTAACTTGATTCCTCCTTTCTACCTAAGTCTCTCCTCATCAAGAAGGGAGTGAGTTTCCATGGCTACCTCCTGACACAGAGACTCAGTTGAGGGTAATGCCGGTGTCAGCTCAGCT